CCGTTCCCTAGCCAAGGGGGGGCTTGGCTGGAAGGCAGCTGCTCTCTATGGATGTTTCCTCTGCTGGGGCAGGGCTTCTAGGGAGGACTGCTGGACACTGAAGTTGTATTACAGTTTAAATTGTAAAACAAGGATGGGTAGGATGCGGCCCTGGGCCAGATCTGGCCTCCAGGCCTCTCCACTCAGACCCTTAGGCACAGGGCAGCTCCATACCGCTTTACACAGCCGGCTGCTCCCTCTGGCTCTGCTCTGGGTAACAGGGGGCAGGGAAATGCTTTGGGCGCTGCCCTACTCCCAGCACAATTTTTCAGCTCTTATTGGGAAGTTCCTGGGGCTGCTGCAGGCAGGGAGTCTGCCTAGAGATCTTGCAGGCCTTCTGTCCAAGAGCTCCTTAGGTAAGTTCCTCCAGGCCAGAGCCTGCCACTGGTACCTCAGCCGCTCCTGCCCCCCAGTGTTCCAAGCCACTGCCTCTTCCCAGACACGGCACCCCAATCCTCTACCCCAGACCACAATTCACTCCTTCACCCAGTGTCCCTTGGACCCCAGATGTTCTCCTGCACCCCAGACTCCTACCCCAAGCTCCCTTTTTTTGCAGCCACCCTCACCTTACAGACATCTCACCTCCTCCATAAGAATGCTGCCCTCAACCACTTAACACAATCTTGACATGTTCCCCCATCAAAATTATTGCCCACCCATGATCTAAAGCAAATAAAATGTTGCTTCCCAGCTCATTATTTCCCATTTGTCTCTCAAAACACACAGATGGTTGAGGAGCACTGCTGTGCATAACGCACAGATCTGGTAACTGTAAGTTATGTTCTTCTCCCAGCCTTTCCAGTCCCCTGCAATGTGGCCTTGGACAAGTTACTTTTCTCTCTGCCTCTCTTACTATTTGTTTAAAATATTTAGATCCCACTTCTGCCAAGGTTTATGCAAGTGTATAATTTTTAAAATGTGAAAATTTCCCTTGACTTATATGGGTTATTTACAGGGCAGAAAATGAAGTGCATGCATAAATCTCTGCATAATCTGGGCATTTGGCTGTACTCTCTTTGTGGCAGGGATTGTCTCTCATGGGTTTGTACAGCACCAGACACAGTGGGGCTCTGACTTCAGTTGGGACCTTAAGGCACTATTCTAATCTGAATAGTAAATAATAAATTGACATAACTCATCCCATTTTTAAAAAAATCAGATGATAAAGACATATACAAACTTCAGTTATCACTGATTTTGATCTCATAATTTAATGGCCAAATTAGCTTGGGAGAAAATGTACATTTTGATTAAATGAAACAGCAAGTGTATCATAGTGGTATATTTTTGTTAGTGCTGCTATTACTAGTGTGGCTTCTCTTTTATTTGGCTTCTTCATGAAGTGTTATTCCTCTACTGTGTGTTCTTCAGGAAACAAAGGGCTTGTTGCTAAGAGCACATTAATGTGGGAGATCAGTAAAAACAAAAAACAGGACTGTGTAGCACTTTAAAGACTAACAAGATGGTTTAATAGGTGATGAGCTTTCATGGGCCAGACCCACTTCCTCAGATCAAATAGTGGAAGAAAATTGTCACAACCATATATACCAAAGGATACAATAAAAAAAGCAAACACACATGAAAAGGACAAATCAAATTTCAGAACAGAAGGGGAATGGGGAGGAAGGGAGGGAGGTAAATGTCTGTGAGCTAATGATATTAGAGGTGATAATTGGGGAATCTATCTTTGTAATGGGTAAGATAATTAGCGTCTTTATTCCAGTTTGCTTGTAGAGTGTCGAATTTAAGCATGAATGACAGTTCAGAGGATTCTCTTTGAAGTGCAGTCTTAAAAGGTCTTTGAAGCAGGATGCAGGTAATCAAGTCGTTGAGACAATGTCCTTTCTGGTTGAAGTGGCAAGAAACTGTTTTTTCTTTGTGATCCTGTCTGATATCTGTTTTGTGGGCATTGATCCTTTGGCGAAGTGTCTGACATCTCTTGTACAAAGACTGAGATAGTGATATGGATAGCATTATGATCCAGATTTGGCAAAGCTCTTCGGTACATGGGTAGTCTAACTGAAGTCAGTGGGAACCATCATATGAGTAAAGACACAGTGGTTGGTATTGTGCCAAGTAGAACTGCAGAAGTAGGGATGGGAATAAAGGGGCACTCTCTACATACTTGTGTTTAGTGTCACCCATTACCTTGGGGTGGGTGGGTGTTAGCCCAATAATTCCATAATCTGTGCTTTCTTTCCTAGATGTTGTTTGACTTAGAGCTGAACAAACTGCATATTGCTAGTGTATTGGACGGACAGGGAAACTACTGTATTCACATTTCAGAGAGAGAGCGCCACGTTAGTCTGTTTAATCAAAAACAAGGAATCCTGTGGCACTTTATAGCCTAACAAGTTAATTAGAGCATAATATCTCCTGGTCTGCCGCTCACTTCTGTCAGATGCATATGTACACATAGGGCCAAACTCTACTTTGTTGCACCTTTGTGATTTTCCTGGCGTAAGGGATCTCCTGGATCAATCTGAACAAATTTTATGCCATTATTTCCAGGCTAGAATATATTTAATCAGAGACCCTCAAATGAATCAAGAGAGTATATTGCAGCTTCTGTTTTTTACCCCTCATAAAAGCTTGGTATGAAGTATGTATTTATTTTTCTATTCTCTTTTGTGACTGTTGACATGTGAACACTTCAACATAACAGTAATGTGTTTGAGAGTCCAAGCAACCACCTAAACAACTACAGGCAGTCCCCGGGTTACGTACAAGATAGGGACTGTAGGTTTGTTCTTAAGTTGAATTTGTATGTAAGTCGGAACTGGTACATATTGTAGGGGAAACTAGTTTTATTCTCCCACGCCTCACTTCCCTCAGTCCTTTATTCTCAAGCTGAGGTGTCTGCTGAGAAAAGCCGCTCGGTGTCTCCCTGGTCTGCTGGGGGAGGTGCTAGCTTCGCGTCTCCCTGGTCTGCTGGGGGGAAGCAGCTAGTGCGGGGTTGCCTCACCCCATTTGTAAGTAGGGATCCGATGTAAGTCGGATCCATGTAACCCGGGGACTGTCTGTACTCCATATGACAAACCACTGGAACAATATCCTTCGCTGTAATTAATGCATTTGCTGTAAAGAAAACACAAAAGATAAATTAATTTAAACTAGCAGGTTTCATGTGGGTTGGTTTTTATTTTGTTTGGGTTTTTGGCAGTGAGATTTAGTGCCTGGGAGGGAGTCACTTGGTTGATCAGACCTGGCTTTTGGGTTCACAACACATCCGCTTTTGGTCTGTTTTGTTCAACCTTATATATTTTGTTTTTGGTATTTTTTTTTTTTTTTTACTTGCTTGACTATGCTGACGTTAGTTTTTTGTTGTTTTATTCTGCCCTTTCAAAATTTTTGTTTGCTTCATTTGGGGTTATTAGCACTTTGTTGCATATTGCAGTCTGTGTTACTTGACTTCCCTAAAAACAGGATTATTGTTGGTCATCCAATCAAATTTTGGGGTTTTTTTAGCTTACGTCTCCTGTATCTCAATAATGCTGCCTTGCTTTTACACTTTAAACTAAATTGGTGCTCATTTAACATATTCTGGGTAGGCCCCAACCCATTCCCTTCACAGTTTTATGGTAGTTAATGCAAAATCTAGCTCTTTTGGTAGTGCTGAGAATGTTATCATGGTACTTTTGTAACTTTTCTGTGACTGGATGCAAAGATTCACATGAAAATCAGCATACAGTGAAGGTAATCTAGTCTGGATAGGGTGCGGGATTTGTATGTGAGAATACCGCTACACCCAGCCAACAGTACAGGCAGTCCCTGACTTATGTTGGATCTGCACTTACGAACGGGGCTTTTCTCGCCCCAGAGCTCATGGGCGGCGGGTCACCACCCATGTCCTCCGGGGCGAGAAAAGCTTCTCCCGGTCTCCCTGGTCTGCTGGGGGAGTCCAGCAAAGCCACTGGACCCCCCACCCCCACCCAGCAGACCAGGGACACCCGAGCAAAGCCGCCGCCTGGGCGGCTTTGCTCATTTGCCCGGGAGCAAAGCCGCCCAGGCAGCAGCTTTGCTCGGGTGCCCCTGGTCTGCTGGGGGGGTCCAGCAAAGCCGCTGGACCCCCCCAGCAGACCAGGGACACCCGAGCAAAGCTGGGCTACAGAACTGGCATCCAGATTCAGCTGCGGTTGAAACTGATCAGTTTCAGCAGCGGCTGACACCAGTTCCGACTTACATACAGATTCAACTTAAGAACAAACCTACAGTCCCTATCTTGTACGTAACCCGGGGACTGCCTGTACATTAATACATAGTCCCTCCATCCAACAAATACCCTCAGTTTGCAAGCAACTATAGGTTTTAATGGTAGAAGACATTGCAAGCAACTATAGGTTTTAATGGTAGAAGACATCCTCAACTCGATAGCCCTGTTTGTCCGCATCCTACCTGTAATATGGCAATACCATGGACAAGAGGCAGCCCTAGAGCATAACAGCAATACTTTTTACTCCCGGGGTGGACAGGAAAACTACATGTGTGGCTTCAGAATATAATAGTCTGATACAGGGATATAAGTGACTAATCGACTATCTGATAAGCAAATGCTTATCGGATAGTCGAGTACCAACTCGACTAGTCACTCGTCTTCTCCCCGCCCCTTGCTGCCGTTATCAGAGAGAGGCAGTGTGATGGTGCACCGGGTTTTTCCCGTCTCCTGCATCCCCATAATGGCATGGACAGACTCCACCAGCCAGTAGAATAGAGGAAGTTTATTGCTTCTCCAGGATACAGCACAGCACAGATGTAATTTGGTTACAGGGCAGGCCTAGGATGCCTCAGCCCCCCCTTGAGATGGGGGAGCCTGGGCCCCTAAAATCCAGCCTGTTGCCTAGCCTGCTTCCTCCATGATACCAGACAGAAACTAACCCTCTTGCAGCCCTGCCCCCCAGCCAGGAGCGGCATTCCACCTTCCTTTGTTTCTCTCCCTGGGGGGTAGCTGGTCGGACAGGTTGAGAGACCCTTGCCTAGTGACTCATCCCCTGTTCTGCTGGGCCGTGCTACAGACAGCAGCCAGTGGGGGTCACCCACAGCCCCAGCATAGCAACCAGCAAGATACCAACACTACGTCACAGGCAGCAAGGAAGGGGGAAGCAGGAGCCAGTGCTGGGTGCAACCAGCTTTAAGCTGGTTACCCCCCAGCACCATCGCTGCTTCAGTCCCCACTCACACCAGTTCCCACTGCGGGCGCTGTACATTTCAAAAGCAGAAGTGCCTCGGAGCATGGTGGGGGGCTGTTGCCGCCAAGCAATGAGGGCTGGCCGCTGCAAACGGGGTGCTCTGGCACTATCCCCTGTTCGTGGCAAATAGGATTGTGTACCGCGAACAGGGCCTGCTGGACTCAGTGGGAGCCAGGACCGAGCAGTCCCAACTCACTCTGATAAGGATGCCTCTGCATTTTAAATGTAGTAAGAGCCCAATGGCTCTTACTACACTTAAAATACAGAGGCGCGGCGCTAGTGGCAAATTGTGTCAACTGTACGATTAGCCAGATAATCACATTTTAACATCCTTACTCTGATACTGCTTCTAGTGTGAGATATGTCAGGGTGTGCAGAAGCAGTTGTATTAAAAATAATGTTGCTGCATAGACAGAACAGGACTTGATCCTCCCCTTACCATCCTTGGTTTTACGTGTCTCTAATTTAAAACAAAAAACTAGCACTCTACAATATCAGTGAAGTGCTCGTAAAAATTAATAAGTAAGTGGCTGAGATCTCAAAAAGCTGTTGTCAGTGGAGAATCATTATCAAACATGGGTGTTTGGAATACAGTTCTGGAAGAATCAGTTTTAAATTCAATGCTGTTCGATATTTTTATCCTCAATCTGGAAATATATAAAACCACAGCTGACAAAATTAGTGGATAATCCAAAGATTGAGTGGGAAATAATAACCATTATGCAGAGCAACTGAGATAATTTGGTAAACTGAGCTCATTCAAACAAAATATATTATAAAATCAAATAACATACATCTAGGAAGAAAGACTATTATTAAAACTAATATTTACTTTAGGTCTTAATCTGAAGACCACCTTTTCAGAAGGATATTGAAAGATTAGAGATGGTGCAGAAAATAGCCTGTATGGTTATACAGGATAAATTACAGACTCACTCTTTTTTTATTAAAAACAGTAAGACATTTTTTGTTAGAGTGGTGGATGAAAAAATCTCTATGAAAGAAAGAAGATCCTATAAAACCTTATGAGCCAGGTTCCATTACCTTTTCAATGAGCTGCTGAGGTAATATCTTTTCAATAAACTTCTTCAGGGCAGACCTGAGGAAAATCTCTTGGAAAGCTTGTCTCTCTGCCTGCCAGAAGTTGGTCCAATAAAAGATACTACCTCTCATACCTTGTGGCTACGTCTACACTGGCCCCTTTTCCGGAAGGGGCATGTAAATTTCATGAGTCGTAGTAGGGAAATGCGCGGGGGATTTAAATATCCCCCGCGGCATTTAAATAAAAATGCCCGCTGCTTTTTTCCGGCTTTTAAAAAAGCCGGAAAAGAGCGTCTACACTGGCCCCGATCCTCCGGAAAAAGTGCCCTTTTCTGGAGGCTCTTATTCCTACTTTGAAGTAGGAATAAGACCCTCCGGAAAAGGGCACTTTTTCCGGAGGATCGGGGCCAGTGTAGACGCTCTTTTCCGGCTTTTTTAAAAGCCGGAAAAAAGCGGCGGACATTTTTATTTAAATGCCGCGGGGGATATTTAAATCCCCCGCGCATTTCCCTACTACGACTCATGAAATTTACATGCCCCTTCCGGAAAAGGGGCCAGTGTAGACGTAGCCTGTGTGTGTCATATCCTGGGACTGATATAGCTACAAGAGCACTGCCCCCTTGTAGTAGTCACCTGACCAATGTTCCTTGTAAGCTGTGTGCTTGGGTGGCCACTTGAGAGATTCAAATGCTGCCCAGCTGATTAGCACAGCTAAATGCTGTTTCTATTGGTGTTGCACATTCACAGGTGCCTTGGAGCACATAAAAATGTATTCCACACAGGGATGGAAAAAAAGTCTGCATATGGATGGCAAAGATTAGAAGGAACATTGTCCCAACACTGACCTTGTATTATGAAACCACAGATTGTTTTGTCCACTTTAACTTTTGTCTCCACTTGATGAGCTGGTAGTTCAGTGTACTGTACATAAGTTACGTAGGCCTGGAGATAAGGTTGTTTAGATTGTCAGACACTACCAACTTAGCAACCAGCCTACCTTGCCTGGACTCTCTACTAGTCATAGCGCATGCTAGCAACACCTAGGGCTGGGCTTAGTGACGCTTTGAGGCAAAGTGTAGCAACAATTAAGAAAGGAGTAACAATTTCAAGCTAAGCAACAGTAACCGTGATCTATACACATTGCAAGAGATTACAATAAGAAAGAAATAGCAAAGAAAGCTGTGCTTGGGATATCTAGGTTGCCCTTAGTAATTGATTTAAGCCTGGGAGCTTTTTTTAATATGGCTTCTACTCTCCCCTGCTCATTTTGATGAGACTTTTTTTGGAATTCTTCAAAGATCTTGAAGGACAAAAAAACCTGATATTTTGCCGTGTAATCCATATCTAACCAACCTATTACTCTGGAAATTTGCCATGACAGACTCTTCCATGGTAGATCACATGACCCGAATGAAACTCAAACTCTTGAAAAAGGTAAGATGATGACAATGCAGCAGTCATATTTTTATATCTTAGTAACATTTCAAATAATTCCAAATATAGTTGTCATGATTTTAAAAAGCATGCAAAGCACAAGACTTGGTGATGATGAGGGACTTCCACTACTCAGACATCTGTTGGGAAAAGAAGGCAGGACACAAATTATCTAATAAGTTCTTGGAATGCCTGGAGCAGTTTTTTATTACCCAAGGTGGAGAAAGTGACTAGGGGAATAACTTTTCTAGATTTGATACTGACAGATAAGGAGGAACTAGTTGAAAACTTGAAGATGGAAGGAAGTTTAGGTGAAAGTGTTCAGGAAGTGATAGAGTTCTTCTCAGGAGTGAAAGGAGGGGGAAACTGCAGAATAAAGACAGTGGACTGTAAGAAGTCAGGCTTTAGCCAAGTCAGAGAACTGATATGTTTAGGATCCCATGAGAAGCAAGTCTGAGCTCTGGTCTACACTTAGGGTGAGGATCCACAGTACCAAGTCTCTTATTTTGAAATAAGGGTCTGGTTACTTTGAAATAATGGCTCTTGCTTTCCATGAGGAATAACAACACTATTTTGAAATAACTAGCATTATTCTGAAATAATTTAGTCTTTGTCCGCGCAGCAGGCAGTTATTTCGAAAGTGACAAAATACTGTCAAGCTGGAGGACTTGGTACTCCAACTCCTGTAACCCTCGTTATGTGAGGAATAAGGGAAGTCGGAGGAAGAGTGCTCTATTTCAAAATAAGTGCTGTGTAAATGCTCCCTATTTTGAAATAAGCAATTTCGAAATAAGATACACAATTGACATAGCTCAATTGTGTAGCTTATTTCGAGTTAAGCCCTGCTGTGTAGACATACCCTAAGTCAGGGTAGTGCATCCACATTAAGGGAGCCTGCCTCAGACTAATTTCAAGGCTTTCCTGTAGTGTGGTGTGGACATGCTATTTTAAAATAACTTACTCGGAAATAGCTCCCAAAATAGCTATTTCAAAATAAGTTCCTAAGGAAGACATACCCTGAGTGGGGAAAAAAAGAGGAGAGTTGGCACTTTTCTAAAGTGACATTATTAAGTGCACAAAAAGAAAACTATCTCAACATGTAGGAAAGATAGGAAGTATGGCAAAAGGCTACCCTAGCTTAACAAGCAGATTTTTTGTGACCTGAAACACAAAAGAGAGTCATAACAAAGTGGAAAGTAGGTCAACTTAAAAAGGATGAACGTGAAGAAAACTTACCATAAGCATGTAGAGACCAAATCAAAAAGGCCAAGGCACGAAACAAGATTAAAGTAGCTAGGGACATAAAAGGTAACAAGAAAATATTTATAAAAACATTGGAAGCAAGAGGAAGACCAAGGACAAGATAGGACCATTACGCAATGAGGAGGGAAGGACAACAACTGAAAACACTGCAGTGGCCTGAAGAGAAATGCTCTTTCTTTCCATTTTCACAACAACAGAAAGCAGTGTGCAGCATTAGAGTGTCATTTAATTCTCTGAAAATGATTATAATTATATATTATGAATGTTCTGTGAATCTTAGAACAAATTAAAGGGGGAAATATATTGATCAAGTGATTACCATCCCATAATGTCAAAGTAATAGTTAACTAAACTCCAGTTTAATCTGCCTATAAAATAAAAATGTCAGTATTGCTATCATTCAACAAAGCAGCACAAAGAGGTGCATTCCAAGGGTAGCAAGGGCTAAGGTGGATTGCTTTGGGACCCGGTGCAGTCCCCAGTGCAACTTAGGCAGCCCATCTCCAAATAGCTGTGGACTGTAGAGCCATACAGAATCTGTGCAGCACTCTGTGACTTGGCCCTTGCGTATACCTGGCATGTTTCATGCCTTGGCACATCCTCTAGGCACTGGTTTGCAGGGGGCCATGGGAATGGAGGAGATTTGGCTGGAGGGATAGGCGCTGTTCACGTATCATTTGTCCACACACTTTAAGTAAGCCCTCCATCTGTGCTGTGGAATTCCTTTTTAGTCTTGGAGGTATCAGCTGTCTGGCAGGTGAACTATTGGCTCTGTAGAACCAGAAGGGCCAAGAAAATGCTTAAGTGCAAGGCCTTCACACAACCAGGCTTGTCATATCTGAATTCCTAAAATCTGTGGGCATTCAGGACTACTCCACTACATGTCTCTAATGCTCCAAAGGAAATGATGCTAGGGTAACTGTGGGAGTGGTACTTCACAGATTTTCCAGTCCCTCATGCAAGGAATTCCCATGGAGGGAATTATCTGGCCTGTAGGCACGCAGGTTTATCCTTTAACCAAAATAGATTTACACTTGAAACATTTTGGGTTCAATAGATTTTTACAATTATCAGTCTGTTTCTACTCTGGCATGTTTCTGATATTCTAAATAGTTTGTATTTGCCAAGATTCCAAGATCAGCTCTAATTTGTTCAAGGTAGCACTGATGATTCAGCCTAGGGCACTGATCTGACCAGCTTCTCCATGTGAACAGACCCCTGTTCTCACACTGAGCAACTGAAGTCTGTGGCCTAGTCTACGCTACTGGGGGCCATCGATCTAAATTACACAATTTCAGCTACAAGTATAACGTAGTTGAAGTCAACGTACTGTGTTGAATCAATGACCGACATTCTCCTGACAACTATGCCTATGCTTCTCGTTCTGGTGGAGTACTGGAATGGATGGAGAGCACACAGTTACTGATTTGTCGTGTCTATGCTATTGCTGTCCGTAAGTCTGGCGGGTAGCATAGATGTGTCCTACAAGAGCAAAGTGTTGCTATCATGATGCAGTTGGTGAGGGACAAACATCTTCTATTTTGCCTACTTCAGGAAAAGCCTAAGGGCCTCTAAAATGAAACCCAAGAAGTGCTGTAGGGATAGTCTGCTTTGATTTGATCTACCGCTTGAAGCAATTATTCCATTAGAATTCAGCTCTCTAACATGATTCCCTGCGATTAGCAAACAATATAATCATCTGGGTGCTTGTGTTCCCTGGAAATGCACCTTTGGAAAGTATTAGGAATGTAAGCGACTAGTTGACTATCTGATTAGCAAAATATTATTGGATAGTCGACACATTAGTTGACTAATCGCTTCCCCGCCGCCTCTGTCTGAAAGGCTTAAACACAGGTTCCCTCCAGCTCCCCCCCAGCTCCACGGGAGGGGGCAGAGGCATAGCGGCAGTTCCACCTTTGAAATGTACAAGAGTCCCTGCTGGGACTCTTGTACATTTCAAAGCGGAAGTGCCCCATGGAGCCAGGAGAGTGCCCCGCTGGCCCCAGGCTCCCTGCTCCATTTCAGTCTTTGAAATGCACAAGAGCCTCTGCTAGGGCTCTTGTACATGTCCAAGGCAGAATGCCACGCAACACCTCCCCCTTTGAAATGTAGCAACAGCTCAGCGGGCTCTCGCTACATTTCAAAGCAGAAGCACCCTTATCGACTAATCATAGTCGATGGAAATGCCATCGACTGTTTGGTTAGTTGATTAATCTAATTTTAAGGTCTCTGGAAAGTATGCATATTTTTTATGAAATATGGTCCCCATTTTTTATTTCATATTTGTGTTACGTTTCACAGGTCCAGGGCCTTGGCTTCTTCTGCCATAGGCAAATGAGACTCAACAAAGATCTAGATATTGTCTTAGGTTGAGATGTGAGTTTTAGAGCGTGGTGTCCTTTTTAAACTGTGATTATATATTTCCTCAAAATATGCCAGGAGGAAAGTACCTGTACTTCCAATACACATATTTGTGTATTAAAGGGGAACCGAAAAGACTTTTTACATGTGTACTCTTTCTTTTTTGTAATATTTAAAATGGCATCAACCATTATTTTCTGTGTGTGTGTGAACACATGCGCACATACACTGAGGTTCTTCTTGTCTTTTAGACCACAAGCATTAGGATTGTCAAGTGCTCCCTTGCTTGAGTATGCTGGAGGACCTTCCAGAGGATTGGAGAACTTTCCTCAAGCCTCAGCTTTCTTAGCCTTGTCCCAGCTGTCCTGAGGTGTTCTCTCTCCCCCCGCCCCCCCCCCAAAAGGAGGCATTTACCCATTTCTTCTTGCTGACTTGATCAGTTTGCTCTTGCCAGCGGGTCAAATGCCAATTTTTGCTTTTTCATTTTTTTCAAAAAAGGGAGGTGTGGTGTGAATGGGGCAAGTAAGGATGTCAGCCCTCTTCCCCCCCTCCCCCCCAGCAAGAAGGCAGAACTGGGAAGGGGGCGCACACAGCAGATATACAGCATGGTGGGGGCAGGGTTCCCGTTACAGGTAACAGCCTGCTGAGCAGTGTTCCCTGTTAGCTGTGTGCTTGTGTGGCTGTTCAGGAGGGACTCAGATGCTGCCCAGTTGATGAGCAGAGCACCCACAACTAGGTTGGTTGTTTCTACTGATAGGGAAATTTTAATGTGTCTCAGTGCCCATACAAATTTATTCCGCACATGGATGGAAAAGATTAGAGGGAAGTTTGCTTCGGAGGGGGACCCCCAGGGTTCCAGCAAGAGGCAGCCATCTCATGAGTGTGGGAAAGGGCTCACGGTTCCAGCAGCGGTAGCTGCCTCATATGGGGGTGTCCTCAGGTGAGTGTCCCCCCCATTGGAAGAATGAAAAGGGGTGCTAAAAAGGGGGTGTTGGATCGTTCACAAAAAGCCACTGGCCTTGCTCCCATTGGTTACTCAAAACCAGTGGGCTCAATGCCTGCTCCCAGTTCCCAGCACTAAACACTCCCAAGCCTGGGAGAAGGCAGCTGCTGCAGCTATAAAACAACAAAGCCTGTCGCCCCACTGTAGTGGTTCTCAACCTGCCACCAACGAGCACACAGCCACGGCCCATGTAACCACCTCAGGGCCATACAGGTTGTATATATGTTGTGTGGCTGTAGCCCACACAATGCAAAGTTGCATCTGGGACCCAGAATAGCAAATAGGTTGCAAACCCTTGCTCTGGCAGCTGTTTTTTTTCTTGTGAAATATGTAAAATATTTGTCCTTTGTACTCAAATAACTGTGCACCTTTACTTTAAACCTGCACTGTGTGTGACTTGCTGTCTTTGCATCTCTACCTTATTTTTGTACATCAGTATACAGTACTTGGGAGAATAGGTCAAGTCCCCCAAAAGATCTTGATCCTTCACTGTGGTGAGCTCCCTTGGGTCACGTATACTTCAAGCCCTTTATTTTATTGTGTTTTCCTGTGGGAGGTTTAGAAGTGCTTAAACTCATGTAAATCAGTGACATTTAAAAGAAGAAAAAGCTAGATGACTCTCACCTCTGGCACTGCCAGTACAGTGCTGGATTTAGGGCTGTTTACCTATCCCTGGGTGGATCACCTCTGCCTTGGAGGATTCCATGGTGGCGTGGAGGCAATGTAGCCATTTCCACATGACCACTCTTCCCTCCAGCTACCGCACAGGCTGCTGGCAGCAAATGCACGTCTAACCTGTCTTCAGAGAACCCCAGTGTTTCGCTATGGGACTTGTTCACACCAGACAAATCACCAAGGTAACCCCCCTACTGCAACCTCCAACCCTAACCCAGGGTTTTCCAGCCACAGCCAAGATTGTGGGACAGTAGCTCTGTACTTCTTTCCTGTTGCAGGTGCACAGTTCATATGACTAGCAGGTAGTGAGAGACTCCCCTTCTCTCCAACTCCATTTTAACTCCTTGTACAGGGCGTCCCCGCCCAGTATACATCCATTCCACACTAAAGTCGTTGATGCTTGTAGGAACCGATGCGTTAGAAGTCCTCCCATTCTCTGTTCTTCAGTTGCACAAAAAAACCCACCAATCTGTGCAAATGGAAGTCAGCTGTGGGGGAAAGAAATTCCCCACTTTACGTTGTTTCGCTATAAGTTCAAGTATTTTGGAATATAGCTTGGATTTATAGCGAGGGCAGCCTGTATCCCAAATGAGTGTTTGTCACGCAGGGCTGGATGGTCTCATGAACCTCAGTCCCTGACTTTTAACCAGTTCTCGCAATCGCTTTATCCACAGAAACTAGAAAACGAACGTGAGACCCTGGAGAACATCGAGTCACCCCTCTCCACAACAAGTAAGAGATACAAGAGGTTCTGTATTTCAGATCAGAGTTTGATGCAGCAATTGTGAGTGATGTTCTCTGGCCTGTGCTATGCCAGAGGTCAGTGGTCTCTATGAGCCTTAAAATCTAGAAGAAGCTTTTCTCTCTTCTCTCCCTCCTCAGCCAGTGAGACAGCCGGAATTTGAGAAAGTTTCAGGAACTCAGAAAGTGCCGTATCTTTGTTATGGTGATAGAAATATTAACAGTGAGCCGGGAAAGTGGCCTCAAGCTCCTTTTGGTGCTGCCTTCTCTTTCCTCGCTTCTAGTGTCTTATACAATTGTGTAATCTAAGACAACCACTCCGCCTTCAACTCCACAGGCTGGCAGGACCTGGGGCTGGGTGAAGATGCAGCCCTTACGCAAGGGAAGCATTTGCCACTCAGCACTGACGCATCTTGAAATCAGTGCTGGAATGAAATAGCAATTGCTGCAGTAGGTGGTGGGGAAGGACATGGTATTCTAGGCAGCCATTTTAATTGTTTGTAGAGGAGTCACTGTGATAGCTCTGCTGTGCCCAAGAATTCCCCTAAGCAGGAAGAATCCTTAATCATCTGGTAAGTCACTGTTGACCTGCTTTGCACCAGCAAAACTGCACAGAGCAGAAGACGTATCACAGTTTGTAGAATGGGAATCAAGTGGGAGAGAAAAGACACCAAATTATTACTGGAGGGGTAAGCAATGTGTAGAGGAGTCACTGTGATAGCTCTGCTGTGCCCAAGAATTCCCCTAAGCAGGAAGAATCCTTAATCATCTGGTAAGTCACTGTTGACCTGCTTTGCACCAGCAAAACTGCACAGAGCAGAAGACGTATCACAGTTTGTAGAATGGGAATCAAGTGGGAGAGAAAAGACACCAAATTATTACTGGAGGGGTAAGCAATGCTGGCCAGGTGGATGCAGACCAACATCCATAATCTCCAGGTTACTGTGAAACTTGTTCAAAGAATGCACAAGTGATGGGATGATGTTAAGGCCAAAGAGATCTTCTCTCTATGGTAACTCAGTGTATAAGTGAAACATCTTATTAGTCTGGTGTTCTTACTGAAACCATCTTCCAGTGATAGCGCCTGCCATAGTATCTGTTATCCACCATCCTTTTCTCCTCTTCCCTAGCTTCAGTAATATAGACTCGTGTCTGGGTTTGAAATCATGGCAATTTCTTAAGAATGCTAGTAGAACTCCTGACCATGAAAACTGCCTGTTGCATGAGCCAACATCTACACATGCACATCATTAATCAAGATGCTGTACACGGATGAAAAATGAACTGAATATCTATGTGCACCCACTCGCATTTCCTTCCAGGCTAAGTTTTGTGATGCAAGTTCAGTGAGCAGGACACAGAAATTTCAAATACTTCAGTAAAAAGTTTATAAGGAGCTTTAAGTGACACAAATCCTGCATTTCTGAAAGCACATGGAATTTTGAAAGTGTTCAAAATCAGCCTTGCAAGAAGAAGACTTGCTGTCACCTCTAAATCTCCATGCAGCCAAGAAGCCATTTCTGAGCTAGAATGAGACACATTAGACAAATGTCCTTTTTCAAAGTAGGATCATTTTGACAGGCTCTGTACATTCTCCTTTGCCTTTGGGTAAATCTAGAAAACATCAGGCCAAATTAAGTGTCCCAGACAAAGTTTTGCCTTAGTGAAATTAAAAATAGGACTTTATAATGCAAGCTGATTGCAGTTGAGATTTGGGAGCGGTAGTGACTGTGACTGGAGCTATACTTGGCACAATAAAATCCTTACTCATTCTTGGGACAGGATTGTCAAGAAAAGTAGCAAATAATTTTTTATTTTTTTTTTGGCTTGGAAGGTAATCATAACAGTAGAGTATCACATGAGACATTTCCCAGAGTTAACCCACTACTGCTGAAGCACCTCTCTCTCTGTTATCCTTTAAGGGGGCAACAGAGCCGATCGGATTCCTCTTTCAGGGACTAGCGATGGACATGAGAATGCACTGCAGAATGCGCTGAAACGAAGGAAAGACCTCCTGCAGAAGCTGAGGGTAAGATCTTACCTGTATGAAGAGGTGACAGCTGCAGGGAATTTGAGTGGTTACGCAGTATCCTGAAGGGGGGTCTCTCACACGAGCAGTAGCTTTGCAATAGCAGCTACCAGACTATGCTGGAACAGCGTGGCTCAGGGCTGCATTGATCTCGGGATCTCTGTATCAAAAGTGGCTGGGCTTGGAGAGGCATGTAAAAGGGAAGCGTAAACCATGAATGCTCTTTTACCGTATTCTGGGGATAGCTGGGGAAATGCTGCTGTCTGAGGGAAGGCGGCTTCACACATGCAGCCAAACAGATCACCCCTTAAAGCTCTTTGGGAGCTTGTTGTATGGACCGCTGCTACTGGAGCTAAGTGAGTTTCTCAGGACTTGGCATCCAGGGAACAGAGTGTCCCTAGAGCAATGTGGGGAGGGGAGGGAGGGAGGAGAAAGCAACGTTTGTCCAGAAAAGCAGGCAAAGCTGTGCACCGTAGCTGTGCAAGGAAAGAGGATGATGGGATAACTAACTAGCCAGTTCTGTCCTGGGACTTCACTATGAAAAGCAAGTATTGCTGGGGCAGATCTCCTTAGCCAGGATGCAGCTCAAGCGGTAGGCCATGAACTGGCTCTCTCTATGGCGCAGAAGGAAAGGAATCGCCCGTATCGCCCCATTTCCCCAACCTTCAGACTGGCTGAGGAGCTACTGTGGGTGGGTCAGATTCATCCCTGGTGTAGAATCATTAGCGTTACCTCAGGGCCAAAAGTAGCCCTGTGAGCATGCTTGTGTTTGCTATTGTTACTGCCCAGGGGTGTCTCTCTAATGGAAGTGACGAGGAGTCCTGTGGCACCTTATAGACTAACTGAAGTGTAGGAGCATAAGCTTCCGTGGGCAAAGACCCACTTCGTCAGATGCATGTAGTGGAAATTTCCTCTCCTCTGTCTCTAACGGGAGCTCCTGCATCACTTGGATCTTTCAGGAGCAGCACCTTCTGGAAGAATTCTCACAGCCTTATATCTTGTCAAGAGAGCCCAGAAAGAGCTACAGGCCAGCACCAGGACCAGCTTACCTGCCTTCTGCTCTGGCTCCTGCACCAGAGCCACCTAGGATCATCCAGCACACAGTAAGATCTTCCCCATGTCAGTACATGGGTATACACCGACAGTGGATGCTACAAGTATGGGTCAGATTCTGTGACTTTCTGCGACTTTTGTCACATTTTCTGCTTCCGCTTCAGCCCTGTGTCCTGGACAGTGGGTGCCCTTTAGCTGTTAGTCTCCCCTGGGTGGTCAGCACCCCTCCCTTATTTTTAGTAAAAGTCACAGACTGGCCATGGGTGAATCACTACCACCTGCTTAAAGTGTGAAAGAATCTTGTCGTTGCCCCAGCTCTGCCAGCAGCACGAGTGTTCTCCCCTGGCACTGCGCACCCGTCTCTTCCCGTCTGCAGGCTTAGCATTGAGCACACCCCACCTTGCTACAATCCAGGGCCCAGAACACTGCCTCGATGCAAACAGGGCCCCTTACTTCATGGACTTTCTCTCAGTTCAACTCTCCATAGGAGAAGGCACCCAGATGTGTGGATAGTGACACCAAACAAGCTTGAGTTAGAGTCACATGAAAGCTAGTAAAAGGCTTTGGAAACAGAAGGTTACAGACAAAAGAAAAATGCAAAACAGCCAACAGCTTATACTTATGAACAAGGTAGCTAGAGAGTCAGCACCTATGGATCTGATGGATCACATGGATCACATTGGGCCTTAAAACTTGAGCCTCTGATTCTCATTGATTGGAATAATGGTGGCTGCCTTGATGGGCAAGTCTCAGAGGGAAGCTAGAAATAAATGGCCTTTCCATGCCTGTCATGCCAAGTGTTGAATTCATATGGTTTGTGTTTCCAGTTCTTGTTTAGCAATTCACACTCTGTCCTCCCTCCAGTAGCACTTAGCCCGTTCAGAGATTGATGTGTCTGGAGCTGTGCACCCGTCCTTACCCATACATAGAATATGCACCTGTGTAGGGCACCCAAAAATTGGGGCACCGCTGGGTCTTAATGTCCCTCCCGTCTGCCTCTTCCTATCCCTGTTCTGTGGCTCTACCCACCACTACTCCCTAGTCTCTGGTTTGGGTCTGGATTACAGACTATTATCATACTAGCCAATTAGCCCGCCACAAAACGGGATTTTCAGATTTCTCCTCCATGTCGGTCTTCTCTCCTGAGCCTCCAGTCTCTTGCTCCGTCTCTCTCTCTCCTCCTCCTTCTGCCTCCCCCCCCTCTCTCTCAGCTCTCCTCCATCTTCTGCCTCTCTCTCTGTCTCTCTCTTTCTCTTCTCCCCCTCCTGCCTCTCACTCTCCCTTTCTCTTCTCCTCCTCCTCCTGCCTCTCACTCTTTCTTCGCTCTCCTCTGTCTCAGTCGGGGATGCACGCTCGTCCAGGCCCCGCCGCCTGTGCATGTATGTCACTGCCCTGCCTCGCTTCGCCGCCCGCCATGGCGCTTGGCTGACTTGTGCACTGCTCAGCTGGGCCACCACGCGGGAGCAAGCAGCACAAATGGCCTCTCTCTCTTCTCCTCCTACTGCCTCGCTCTCTCTCTCTCTCTCTCTCTCTCAGCTCTCGTCCGCCTCCTGCCTCTCTCTCTGCCCCTCCCGCCTCTCACTCTGTGTTTCTCTTCTCCTCCTGCTGCGTCTCTCTCACTGTCCTCTGCCTTCTCCCTTCTCTCTGTCTCCTCCACATCCTCTGTGTGTGCTCCGCTTTCCTCTTTTTGAATCCGGTGCCCTTTCCTGACGTCAGAGACGCACGCTGATCCAGGCCCTGCCCCTGACTTCTGCGCCGCTCAGCCGGGCAGTGCAGACCCCAAACGGCTGCTTACTTCCACACGGCAGCCCGGCTGAGGGGCGCAGAAGTCAGCGGAGCGCCATGGCGGGAGGTAACAGCGCCTCCCAGAGAGAACAGCCAGCGTTTCAGCGTTAATCACAGACAATGGGCTACTATATGTATACCACCTGTCAGATTCAGCACCACGAGTGGCTCCTTTGGTGACTGTATGTCCTTTTAACCACACAGGCTGTGGAGGTTCCCAGGGAGTGTCCCAGGGAGAGATGCTGTTACTATTCGGTGGTTAGTTCTTCAGTAGCTTTGGCTCTTGAGATTTCCTCTTGAGATTTCTCTGAGAGCTCCCTTGTCTGAGAATACTCACTATCCCAAAGTGCCGCATTAACGCTATAATTCAGTACTCGGAGGAAACCAGCAGCACGTGAGGTGAATTGAAAATGCTATTTCTTTTGTTTATCAATTTTACAGTGCAGATATTTGTAATAAAAATAATACAACGTGAAAACTGTGCACTGCAGTCTGTGTTTTAATTGAAATCAATATATTTGAAAATGTAGGAAAATATTGAATAAATTGCAGTTGGTATTCTATTGTTTGATAAAATGATTAAAGCTGTGATTAATCGTGATTAATTTTTTAAACCACGATTAGTCTTTTGAGTTAATCACACACATTAACTGTGATTAATCAGTAGCCCTAATTGACACACACACAAGCTCAGACATGCCCAAGCACATGCATGCGCACGCACAAACACACTCAAACAGTCACACAATCATTCACAATCTCTCAGTAGTGTTAGTCTAATCCATTCCGTGCTCCTCTTCCTACCACATTGTGCAGCACACCGGAAGCAACGACAGCAGCACGGTGTCCTCCTCAGAGGGCACACGAGCTCTGCTGATTGGTAAGGAGAGGGCAGTCCCCTGCTCATCTGTGCATTGCAGGCTGGAGTTAGTTCAGTTCAGCTGAGCCCCCCTCTTATGCCAGCCTGGATTTGAGCCTACAGACCAGTGAAAGGAAGAGCCCCGAGCTGGGGCAAGAGGGCGTTCACCTGATAGGAGCTTGGTGCTGCAAGGAGTTGATACCAGGGCCATGTACCCTTCTGAAAGGCCAGGGTAGCTCCACCTGCCTGCATGGGAGGTTTGCCCCAAAGCAGCTGCACCAAAACTTTACCTGGGACAAGGTGCTTCTTAAAAGCTGTGCTGAACTCTGATATCAGAGGCCTGTCTGTGAGCAGTGGGCTCAGTTCTCTATTGTTAGATCCAGACTGGTGCCTGCAAGCTAGTAACTAGCCCCCAGGATAGCCTTTGTGCCCAGAGACCCTTACCTTTAAGCAGGACACCTGCGTGTGTTCTGGGGGCTTTGGCTGCGGCATATGCAAGGTATCAGAATACAAAAGGCAGTGGTCCAGAGATCCCAGGGTTGCAGGCAGATGACAGCCCTGACTCCTCTTGCTTTTCTTTTGTTCCTAGATGCCTCAGCAACCTGCAACCATCATCCAACAGTTACCTCCACAGGCACCTCTCATCACACAGATCCCACCTCCACAGCCCCTCACAGCCCCCCGCTCTGGAAGTATTAAGGAAGGTCAGCATCAGCTCCCCCACCCCTCCACGCTGGGTCAGACAGTGCTCAGAGATCAGAAGGGGCTCCAGAAAACAGCAGGAGGTGTCTCTCATCACCACAGAGCTAATACTTGAGTTACTTTGTGACTTACCACAACTAGGCTGTCAGTGGGATTACTGGTTTTGCCAGTCTAATATCTGTGCCCTCTGCCTGAGAAACTTAGAGTAACCCTACGTGCTGCTGGACGCTTTATCTTGCAACAGACAGTAGGGCACGTAATCCAGTTGGCAAAACCCAGGTTAAACTGCAGAGATGGCCTGGGAAAAGCACAGCGGCATAAGAGCTGATATTGGTTCAGTATTAACAGGGACTTTGGGAGCTAAAACTTTTACAAAGAGTAATTTCAAAATGAACAAATGGGTCCACTGTCCATTCTCCTTAGTACACTCTGAGTGTCTGTTTTATCATGTGTAGGACTGGTCTGCCATTGGAAACAGGAGGCGGCAGCTGAGTGTGCTACACTGGATGCAGCACAATCCCAAGAAACACATGTGTTTGGTGTTTGTAACAGAGAATGTGCGGGGCCCAGGAATAGCATGTGGAGTTCATGTCTGAGCTGCTTTCCCCAATGCAGATTTTTGAATGGGGTTTCCTGGTGCTGCAGGGAAATGAAAAAAAATCAGAGCGCAACTCCACAGTCTGCTGTTTGTTTATTTGAATCAATTTATTTTCTAAAACAAAATGGACCAAATTTATGTCTGACTACTTTGAAGTTGAGTGCGTACATTTAGCCCAAGGTATTGGAGAGACAGAGGGTGAAGTAGTAGCTTTCGTTGGATCAGCTTCTGCTGGTGAGACACAAGCGTCCAAGCCACACAGAGCTCTTTTGGTCCAATAAAAGCTATTACCTCACCCACTTTGCCTCTCTAGTTCCCTGATGATGATTCCGGGGTGAATTTGGCTCAGTGTGTCCAGCTACATGAAAAATCCAGTTAATACAATTGTCCTTGTGTGGTGGTTGAATTGGTTCTGGTCCCAGAACAGCAGGTGGATCTGTATTCTGGGTGCATTTTTAAAGCCACATGTAAAGGAACTTCGGAACGACAGTTTACTGTCTCTTAAAGCCGGTGAAGTTTGCAAACATTTCAGGTGTTAAATTCCCCCTCCTTCCCTTGCTTTTTCCCTGAAATTCTGGTAATGATTGCAGAAGCCCTAGGGCTATGTCTATAGTGCACTGTTTTGCGCAAGAAATATGCAAATGAGGCAATGCATGGAATATCAACGTGCCTCATCTGCATAACTAAGAAGCGTCTGCTTTTTGCACACAAACCCCCTCTTGCGCAAGAGCCATTCTTCCTAGAATAAAATGCGGAACAACAGCTCTTGCGCAAGAGGGGGTTTTTCTGCAAAAAGGAGCTGTGTAGACGGCTCCTTTTTGCGCAAAAGCCTCTTGCGCAAAAAGCACCTGCTCGTTAATTATGCAAATGAGGCACGGTGATATTCCACACGTCACCTCATTTGCATATTTTTTTCACAAAACAGCGCAGTATAGACATAGCCTGGGTCTTTAACAGTTGGTCTCTCAGCAGCTCTCCCTTGTGATTGTGCAGTGAAGGTATGATGTTTGGTTACAGGCCTCCCAGTAATTTTCAGTCATGGCCGCATAAGAAGGTCCCAGACACAGGCCTCTCCCAGAGCTGTGTGTCACACAGTGGTGGGAGCTCCAGGGGGTTGGCAGTTTCAGTTTGTGTGGGTTCTCACTACAGTGCTGGGAACTGTTTGACTTAACCTGCAAAGTACCCTCCCAGCCTTGGCTCGTGTTTGAGCAATGTCTGCGTCCCAGCCGTGTTGGCTGAGCTCTCCTTGGGTTCTGACAGCTCCCCACAAGGAGCACTCTGTGGAACATTTGCTCTACCTAGCGTCCCATGGAATTGGTCAGGTTGCAGCTGGCGACATGAGGCTGGTTTGTTGGGCCATATCACACAATGGAAAGCACCTGATACCTCCCCGTGCCCTGGCCGGCTGGCTGAGCTTGTGCTCTGTGGCCAAGAGAGCTAGCTCAGCCCAGCCCAGCCCAGCAGAAGCTGGCGTCCGGGGGTTTTGTAGGCTGTATCTGAGCTGAGCTCTGGGATTCCTCTGGAAAAACTAAGAGCAGTGCACACTGTCCCTGTCCAGTGGCTGTGTGAGTTGTGTACCTCCTGCAGTTACCCGGCTCTCACGGTCCACGCAGGCAGAAATCCAGTGACACTAACTCGCAAGTGTGTTTCAAACCCAGGAAAAGTAGGTGTTGGAACCTTGCAGAATTGTCTGGCCTGTGAAGTCATGCACACTGGCTCCCACACCAACACTTGTGAATTTGGACCTGCCTGTGCAGGACTATGGCCCATTCCGAATCAGTCGCCCTGGGAAAGTCTGCGCAGGCCCAACCTACCCAGATTTGTCTCTGTTGGGGTCACAAACCATGTGAGGGCTTCTTCCTAGAGACACAGGGAAGCTAGGCTGGGCCGAGAGCCTGAGGGCTCGTGTTCTGCAGAGGTGTGGCCACAGAGATGGCTGTGCCAGTGAATAGTCTCTGCCTCCAAGTGCGAAAGGCCCTTTCAGGGTCCCCTTTCAGCTGCCTTCACTCCATGGGAGCTGTGTGGGTGCTTTGCGAAGGCCCTGTGCCCCTGTCTCTGACTGTTCCTTTCTCCTTTGCATTCGCCCGTTCCAGACATGGTGGAGATGATGCTGATGCAGAATGCCCAGATGCACCAGATTGTTATGCAGAACATGATGCTGAAAGCTCTGCCTCCGATGGCATTCTCGCAGCCCACTGGGACCGGGCCTCCCCTGCTGCAGTATACCCAGCAGGTAATGTCGGTCACCCCTTCAGAGAGCCCCCTGTGCCACCAGCCACGGGCACGAGAGGGGGAGCTGGTCTCCCCATGCCGGGGCAGGGTCTGGGAGTGGGGGGGGCATGGGGCCGGAATGCAGCTTGGAACCCCTTGCCAATGGAAGCATGTTACAGTGCATGGCACAGACTGGCTGGTCTGGTGGAGGAGCTGAACCTCCCCCTCGCCCCTGGGCCTCCAGACTCTGCTGGGATGATGGAGGAGTTCGGCTGCTCAGACAGGGGATGCTCCCCACTCCACCGCAGGCCAGCTCTGCTCTCAATTGCCACAACCTCACCTTGCCTCAGCCCAGCACTGGCCTCGTGCAGGCCTGAACCACACCGTGTTGGGCAATGTGCAGGCACCCCAGTGGGGGAGGTGCCTTGTGCCCTCCTACGGGCTGGGCATGCTCCTGCCCTAAGAGCGTGGCTGAATTGCTGTTGGAAATATGAAAGCATTTGGTCATCCAGGGAAGAGCCCATGTGCTGCATGGTGACTGGGAGCCTGGCTTTCTGCCCTCCACTGGGGCAGACACAGGCACGTTTAAATCCATGGGAAGATTTCCGTGGGCCTGGCAGTTCCTGAAAGCTTATTTTGACAAAACCCGTAATTGGTGGCACTTTGCGACGGGCTGGAACTGAAGCACTGATCTGATGGTGGAGCCTAGAGACCCCAGTCAGGATCAGGGGCTTGTGTGCTTGGGGGTCAATGGGAGTTAGGCACCTGACTCATCTGAACATCCCTCCAGGTGCTACCCTGCATTTGTAGGCACCTAAATCCCTTTACAAATCTGGCTCTAAGTGCGTAAGGCCCAGATCATCAAATATATCAAGGCTCCTAACACCCACTGGAGTCAATGGTGCAGTTAGGTACCTAAATCCTCTTGGTAAGATGCGCTTACCATGGAACTGTGACGCAGGGATCTTGAGGTGTGTTTGAAAACATTACCCCAGGCCTTGCCTGGAGGGGTTTCCAATCTAAGCAGGAAGGGCAGTTCATTTGGGAGTTCTTGGATGTAGTTCCTCCCCATTTTACACCTGCGTGCATGCCAGGGCCTTTTCTTTCCTCTTGCACACAGCCCAGGAAACGTTCTGGCTCTTGGCCTCCCTCAGGCATGATGCTTTTGGACCCCCTTGTGTTAAGCTGATAACTACCACCCATCTGGGCTGGTAACGTTCATCCAGTAACATCTTCGCCGAGTGCTATTTCCAGCACTAATGGCTAGTGTACATAATCCAACCCCAGTGCCCACCGGGCTCTGGCAAGAAACATGACACCCTCCTGTACCTGATCAGCTTGGCTGCGGTGGTTGGGGGCGGAGCTGGCATTTTCTGCACCTGTTCAGCCCACGTCTCAGCATCAGGCATACTCCAGGGTTTCAGAGCAGCTGTTGGCTCTCCTGTTTCAGGGCCGTCTCTGCAGCAGCCACTGCTACCTGGCAGAGTATCGCACTAGGGGAAACATGACTGTTCTCCGCTGGGCCTGCTCTCGGCCAGTTTTGTTGGGTAGTGGCATTTGCACCACGCCCGTGCCTGAGCAGTGCACAGGCCAGGGGTCTAGTGTATGCTCTCAGAGGCGTGAGGTAAACCGGGGTGCACATAGGACGCTGCAGCCTGTCAGAAATGGGGACTGTGCACTAGGAGTGTCCCTGCCTTGCCAGAGGGTGCCTCGCACACTGCCTGCCTGGCTTTGTATTCTCCTCGCACCAGCTTGGGTGGCTTTCACTTCCTGGGGAGGAATCTCATCTGCACTGAATGGAAAGGCAGAGACTGGTTTAATACAGTGCCCCCAGGTGTTTGTCCCTAGCGAGGGGAGAGCACACAGACTATCTACAGGCTACAGGAAATCCAGAGTGTCACAGGTCAGGGGCCTGCACCTGAGAGCCAGGGAACAGCAGAGCCGTTCTCTTGTTCTTGCCGTGCAATGGCAAGGCCAGTTGTGTGCTGGCTGTTCCCAAGGGAGGCAGTGGGAGTGGGGTACGCCTGCACTGTGGTTAAACCCCCACCACTGGCCCAGGGCTGCTGCCTCAGGCTTAATGCCTGAAACTAGGCATAGCTGTTTGGGCTCTGGCTGAGCCCCGGGCTCTGAAGGCCCCTGGGGGATAGGTCACAGACCCGGACTCCAGCCTGAACCCGATCATCTACAGTGCAGTTAAAAAGTTCCGTAGCCCGAGTCTTAGCCCAAGTCAGCTGGCACGGGCCAGCCACCGGGGTCTGATTGGAGGAGAGAGAGGGCCTGGTGGGACCCACTCACTCTTGGCTTGCTGCATTTATCGCCCGGTATCCAGGATGGCCAGCCTTGGGCCCAGGGCAAGGGATGCTCTTTACAAAGCTGGCAGGTAACAGACCATTGTGCTCACCTGCCAGGTGGGTACGAAGCTAACAAATTGCTCTTTTCCCCTTCAACTGAGGAGCCCCAGTTTGCTGCTCCAGTCATGGTGAAAGCAGAAAAACCCAGGCCATCAGCGGTACATCATCACCACTATTACCCTTTGCCGGGATTGCAGGCCCTTCCTTCTCAGCTGCCCATAGCTGGCTGCTCTGCGTGGCCCCCTGTGATGCCATCCAGCCTTGGGGGAGAGCCTGGAGGATTCCCATCTGCTGTGCATCACACGACCGGCCCCACTAGCATATTCTCAGCAATGAACAGGTAAGTGAATAAGCAGTTGTAGTCCCTTTCCTCCTGCAGACGTGGGGCTCGCAGGCGGCCAAAGCAGCGGATGCCCTGAGCTCTGACTTACCAGTGGCTTCTGACTACATCACAGGGCCAGCCCAGCTTATTTCCTTTACTATGCTTTGCAAACTGAGTCCTGTGGTGCTGGCAGAGACCGCGGTAAGAAGTAGCCTTGCTGCGTGACTAACCCGCGCTGGGCACACGAGCAGCATACGCAGTGCTGGAGAGGTTACTGGCGTACTGTCCTCATGGGGAACGCCAGTGGGAAAATCACAACTCATCCAGCTGGCAGCTGCTTTTTGGAACGAATCACAGGGATGCTCTTCTGTGGCCATCCCAAGACCCCAACGGGGCCCTTTGCAACCCAGGAAGGCCCAGCTCCATGCCTGAAACCTAACTCAGGCTAACATTGCCCTGGGGAGTGCCATCCCTCAGACACCAAACAGAGAGAGGCTTGACACAATGGCAGATACTTACGGGCAAGGAAGAATAATTTATTCCTGGAATAAAGCTGACCCATTGGCATACACCGGTGTGTCTAACTGGGTTTGTCCCCCCAAGTGTAGTAACCGACAGACCCCACAGCCTTTCCCTGGGCTTGTAGACTCCTCAAGCTGGTAGCAAAGCTAACTAAGCAGTTCAGGACATTCTTGCTTTCACAGGGCACCTGGGCCCTGCATGCTCCCTGCTGTCACAGAGCTTCCCCTTCCAGGGCATTGTCAACTCCTGCAGCAGCCTGCTGGGGCCGGGTTTTGGTTGTGACCCGATCTCTCCTGTGGTGACAGGCTTGCAGCTCTCAGGCAACCTCTCACCTGTTACCCCGCCTGCTGGTTGGAACTGTGGCAGTCTGAGCAGGACTCCGGGGGGGTGGGTTGTCATGTCCTGGCAATGGGCAACACCACTGGGGGAATTTGGCCCTGTAGCTGAGGGGTTTGTGGCCTGGCTCTGCGGCCGCTTTCCTTTGAACAATGCATTTGTTTTGGTGCCATTTCTCTGGAAGCACTTTGTAAACAGCTGCACCCGGCAATGCCTTGAGGTCAGGGATGGAAGGTGCCTGTTCACGTTGGAAACCATCCCGCTCTGCTCATAGTGTGCTCTGAGCTCCTGACCACAGACCAGGAGATGGGTAGCTAAGCAGATCAGAGTATGTGGAACACTTCTAACGCTGCTGCAAGCTAGAACTCTTCCCTGAGAGCTAAACTCTGAGCAGCTCAGAGCACCTGTAAGCCTCACCAAAGTCAACGTGCATTGCTAGTGTTCACTCCCCTCAGAGCACCTACCCTGGGGCGGTATGGGACATTTCCTTTTGTCTCTAGCCAAGGGTCCGATGCTCCTATGCACTTCACCCCTATCCTTTTATAGCTACACCAAGCATATGCTATGGGCTAGCCTCATACACATTAGAGCCATTTCTTTCTCCTGCAGATAACTAGTGAGCGGACATGGACTTTGACCAGGACCCGTGCACATGGAGCATAGCATCGCTGGACGTGACTTGCTTCAGAGTTCCTAAAAGATTTGGGCTGACTGGAGTCTACTGTAAATAGTTATGTGCCATTAGTGGAGCTGATAACCCAGGGAGGGATGGCAAGAGTGTGTAATAGATCATGGACATGCAAAAAACATCTTGTTACATCTTTTGGATCTGGGCAGTTCGCAGAAACTTTGTGGCCCTGAGGCTGTTATCATTAAGAAGAGAAATTGACCATGGAGTCAACTATTTCTTTGATGTAGTCCTGGTGATTTACAAAGAATGTAAACTAATTCCTGTTGCCTTGAACACAAGAGGACACACACAATGAGAGACAGTTTCTGTACTCACAATTCCAAATCTCTTTTAGCCAACACTTACCCCTAATACGCTTAGGGCCTGTCTACACTGCAGTCAGCCACAATGGTTGCAGCAGGTGTAGATACAACCAAACTGGCTTCGATGTTACTGGGTCAAATAACAATAACATGGAAGCCAGGGTAGATGGCCTGGCTCCTATGGCTTGATTACCCAAGCCGTGGCTACATGAGTTTGTCACACTCCCAGCTGCAACATACACAACCTTAGCTTTTCCTGCCAGGGCCACTACCAGGACTAGGTGTCTGTGTCTGGCACTTGCTTTCTCTGTCTCCTTGGGGAATGGAAAGTCCAGAGAAGCACTGAACATATCGTATGATTGTTGTGGGTGATGGGTGCTGACTTCTTTTTTTTTCCACTGGGTGCTTAGCCCCAACTCTGCCCTGAGAACCTGTCCTCACTCTGGGCTTGTTCCTTTCAGCCCCTTCTCCTACACACCTCCCATCTCTGTACAGCTGATCCCTTTCCTGTGCCCAGCTCTGAAAGCAGAGGTGGAGGGGGCAGAATTTCTTTTCTTCTGTCTGTCCATTTTTGAGTCTTCAGTTCAAAATTCACCACTGTATCGTAAGGGTTGATAAGAAAACATGGCTCCTATATGATACCACACGAACAGCAAGGTCATCTGAGCACAGCCTGACATAATACCTGGTTCATGCACTCGCCACCCCCACCCCCCCCAAGTACAATGGCACCAAATGTAATTTGGTTCTGACGCTCATTAACATCAATGAGAATTGTTTTCTTCACAAGTGATTTTTGCAGGATTACGTGGGGCCCCCATTCATGCGTGGTGGCATACCAGGGCACCACTCCACACCAGTTGGGACTGCACTAGACTGCAGTTCAGCACGCTCAAATTGCTGTTTCCACAGTAAAGTGATTCTTGTATTCCAAAGCATGCATAATATTGCACCTGTAGGAAGAGGCTCTGGGCTGGGATGGAAGGGTTGGGAGTGCTGGAGGGGGTTCCAGACTGAGGCAGGAGTGCCATGTGTGGGAGGGTGAGAACTTGGGTTGTGTGTCGTAGTGGGGGGCTGTCTGCTCTAACCACGGGGTTCCCCTGCACTGTGATGTGTGATTTCCACTGACTCACCCACATGTGTATCGGCTCAGACACCTAGTCCCAGTCTGAGCAGATAAGACTCTTCCCTAAGGGAGAGACGGCCACCTGGCTGGGGGGCAGGGCCTGGGAGCTAGTCAATCTTATCTGGAAAAACAAGGAGGGAAGAGACTAAGCTGAGTACTGGGGGTTGGGGGGGCTGGACCCCTACCCCAGGGGACTGAGGCTGCCTGCCCTGACTCCTGTAGCCACGTCACGTCTGTGCTGTGCTGTGCTGTGCTGTACCCTGGAGAAGCAATAAACCCCCCTGTTCTTCTGGCTGGCGGAGACACATCTTGCTGCTATGGGGGTGCAGGATGAGGGGGTCCCTGACGCCATCGCAGGTTGATGGTGCGGGCTCTGAGGAAGGGCCAGGAATGAGGGTTTGGCGTGCAGGAGAAGGCTTAGGGCAGTGGCTTGCAGTGCACAGGGTGAGGGTTCTAGGCGGGGGATGCAGGCTCTGTGGTGAGGCTGGGGAGGAAGGTTTGGAGACAAGGAGAGTTCAGAGAGCGGGAAGGGACTCAGTGCTGGGGCAGGAGTTGGGATGAGGGACTTGGGCTGGGGGTGAGGTCTCTGTGGTGCAAGAAGGGGCTCTGGGTTTGGAGTGCAGGAAGGGGCTTAGGGTGGGGTGTGGGATCCGGGCGGGAGTTTGGGTGCAGCAGTGGGTTCTAACCTGTGGAAGGAGGTGAGGGTGTGGGCTTTGGGACTTGCTGCTCCCAGGAAGTGATGGCACGTTCCTCTGGCTCTTAGGCAGAGAGGCAGTCAGGGAGCTGTAGGTGCTGTAAGTACCACCCCTGCAGCTCCCATTAGCCACAGCTCCCCTTCTGCTCCAGAAGACAGTAGTGAAGAAGTCCTCTGGGCTGCCTAGAGTGCCTGCAGAGAAGCAACCAATGGGGGGGAAGGTGCTTCTTGAGCAACCAGTCGGGAGAGAAGGATCATATAAAAGGCAAGCTGCAGAACAGAGAGTTCAGTTCCTGCCTGGAGCTTGAAGAGGGAGGACCAGGAGCGTGCTGGACTCTCGACAGGTCTAAGCTACATCCCCATGTGGTGGCTGGAGAAGGAATCCAAATGGGAATAATGAATATGGTCCAGCTGGGAGGCTGAGTTGCAGAAGACCTGCTCAAAAGATGTGTGGTTGCAGACACTATTGGCCAGGGAAGGAGAGGCAGGCGCTGACCCTGCTCAATGGCTGTGTCACCCGGTCAAAGCTGACCCAGTTATGAGTTTATTTGCCCAGGGAGGTGAATCAGAGACAATCAGCCCGCCTCCTTCCCCTCCCCTCTGCTCTGCTCTCTGCAAGCACAGCAGCTTCGTGCCACAGGGTGAGCAGTCGCTATTCCCTCGGGGCCGAAGGCAGCAGACACCACGCTCCAGTGAGACAGCTGCAGACATGGACTCCCCTGGCCTTCAGGAGAAAGTAGCTGTTGTCGGAGGCGGTCTGGTGAGAGACTCCCCCTTGTCTCTGTTGTGGTTTGTGTTTGCTGGGAAGGGAGCTAGGGCGGTGGCCTGGGATGAGAACAGACTGTGCCAAGCAAGAGGTACCAAGGTGAAGGGCTGTAGCAAAGGGCTTTATGTTGGGGGGGGGGGGGAGAGTGAGGTGACTGGCCAAACAGGCCCGCGTTTGGGGTGAAAATCCCAGAGAGGCTGCAGCTAGCAATGCTAACATGGCTTCTCCAAGCCAGGCAGCAGCCCAGGGTGGGAAGTGATGGCTGGGGATGGCGGCTAGGGCTAGCTGCAAGCCCTGGGAATGCAACCTGCTCTTTCTTCTCCTTTCTGCAGCCTTTGCTTGCTTGTGGCTTACGGGTGGGGCGTGTAACCCCCACGGGTACGTCTCGGCCCTCACTCAGCCCCTGCTCTTCTGGCAGGGGCTGGGCTGGGGAGCTGCTGCTGGGGAGCCGGGCTTGCCGTGCTTGCACACACAGGACTTTGCCCCTGGCATGGCTGGGTTTGCGATGGGGGGCCTTGCTGGGGGCGCGCCTGAAGCTGCTGAAGGAGGTTTCCAGGCTGACGGAGCTAGTGAATGAGTAACACGGGTGGGAAAAGCACGGCCTCCCCGAGGGTCCGCTCTCCTCCCCGGGGGTCCGCTCGTGCAGCTGGCTGACACCTGGCCGCCGGCAGCCTGACACACAACAGCTCCTGCTCTGCCTCACCAGTGCTGGGGACAAATGTGCCACCCCAGCTGCTTCCTGCCTGGCAGCTCAGCGCTCTGAGGCAGCCCCGGCCCAGCGCTGGCTTGTCGCAGAGCCGTGCGCAGCACTAACCTCAGGCCTGTGGCCGGCAGGGTGAGCAGCTGCTCCCAGCCAGCTTCAGACAGGGAGCAGGAAGGAACCTTGTCGGCAGGGTGAGCCGACGGGGCCCTCACCCAGCCCTCCTGTAGCTGGGACTGACCTTTCGGCCAGATTGCTGGTAGGGGCAGGGGGGCAAAGAGCCCATGGAGCTACCCCAGGCTCTGTCCTGGAAGTGGGGAGCCAGGCTGGGAGGAGAGTGAGGAACCCAGGAGGAGCTCGGGGGTGGGGGGGAGGGTAAGTTTCTGGGTGGGCCACCCAGAGACATGGTGTGTAAGCGCCTGCAGCAGAGCCAGAACCCCCTGGCCCCCGCCTGGCCCATACAGTCATTGTCACCCCGCAGGCACAGGCTGGAGCCCCGCAATGTGCAGCAGGAAGAGGGGGCAGAAGACCCAGCCTGTCCCCTGATCTCTGGAGGAGAAGAAGTGGGGCTGCCTGGGCTGCTGGCTCTTAGCGTCCCCCCCCCTCTCTTGCTGGGGTTGGGAGGGGCAGAGAGAGTGCTGCTCTTCTCTTCCTGTGAGCTGCCTTCTGAAGTCCCCACAAAGCTTCATTTGCATTCGGTTCAGACTGGTGCAAGGCAGTAGTCAGGCTGAGCGCCGGACCCGGCTCCCGTCTGACGGAAAAGCGGGTTCCCGCCTGGGCTGCGACCTGTCTCAACAGCCTCAGCCTCTCTACAGGCTGTCTTAGCTAGTGCCTGTACGTCCATGCCTCGTGCTGTTCGTAGCCAGCGTCCTGTGGCTTGCACTGCCTATGTTCTCTGGTGAGCAGGAGGGCACAGGGCAGGTGCAAGCAATTCCTGTAAGCCCTGCAGGCCGGGGCCAGTTGGCGTGATGGGTCCTCAGGTCACTACAGCAGCCCAAGCCATGCTGCACAGGTCACACGTCGCCTTTGTGCATGTCAGCACAGCCAGCCAGGTAAAACGCCGCCCCTGCATGGCGCTCGGTGGGTGACTAGGGGCATGGCACTTGTTGCGAACACCGCTCCTTTCTCCCTTGTACCGTCAGCACCGCTGCAGTCACAGAGCTTGTTCAGTTGGGCAGGGCACGTGCCTGAGTGCAGACGACGCTTGTTGCGAACACCGCTCCTTTCTCCCTCGTACTGACCGCACCACTGCAATCACAGAGCTTGTTCAGTTGGGCGGGGCACGTGCCTGAGTGCAGACGATGCCTAATGTCAGTGCAATTTAGTGTGAAGGGCTCTTTGGTTGACGCCCAAGTCCTAGCTACCCTGTGTGCGGATTTCAGGGCACCTTTCCTAGGAGACAAGGTCTCTCTCAGGGACTTGGCCAAGCTGCCCTGCACTGCGGAGCTAGTTGGTTGTCAGTGTCTCCTCGATAAGAAGCTGCCTATCAGTGATGCTGCGTGTTGATCACTGCAAAGCGCGGTCAGAGGCTCTGCCAGGCAATGGCTCTTACCGTAACCTGCTCCTGTCCCTCTCTTGCAGGTGGGGGCTCTAAATGCCTGTTTCTTCGCAAGGCGAGGCTTCCAAGTCGACCTCTATGAAGCCAGAGAAGGTGAGCTCAGCCGTACACTATTCATGCTCTCGTCCACCACCTCCTAAAATGGGGGGGAGAACACTCTGGGGAAAGACCGCGAGACGAACAGCATCTGAAAATGTGTCTGCAGAGTGTTGCCTTGGCTGTCATGCTGAGCGTACGCGATCGCAGGCTGGTGGCCAGCCTGCAGTCCCCCTTTCAGGGGGTGCGGGAAACCCCGGGAGCCCTGCTTTTATGCACTCCTCGTAAGAGCTGATTTGAATGCCCGAGTCCGACAGTTGGGTTCCCGAAGGGTGAGTGTCCTGGAACCCTGTCAGTGCACGATTGAAGGACACTGTCCTGCATGCGTTAGGCCCCTGCCAAAATTCTAATTGATAAATTAGTGCCCCGTCCCTGCTCCTGTGGGTGCTCTGCTCCTGTGGGTCCCTGCTCCCTGCACCCCCTCCCCCGCAGGCACCACTCGCCCCAGATGCTGTAGGATAGTGCTGCCTGTTGGGGTCTGTCACGCGCGGGGGGGAAATCCCAAGCTAGTCGGTGCCATGTGGAGGAAATGTCACTCGCTTTTTAAATTACCGCCACAGCTACCCTTGTGAGACAAAGCCAAACGCGACTATTTGTGTCCCCCTCCTTGGTCCTCCAGCATGGCTGGACTGGCCACCCTCAGGGAGCCATGGTCACCCAGGTGGGGGCTACTCTGGTTCGCCAGTGGGAGAATCAAGAGGAGAGGTCACCTCAAGAACAGGCCTCTAGTGACCAACGCTGTTCAGTCAACCTCCCTTGGGAGCCACTGGGACCTGGGCCCCGCATGGGCAGGGGCTGGGCCTACCTCACACAAAAGCAGGCCTTAAGGGCTTGAGCCGAAGCCTGCTGAAGGGAGGAGTCTCCATAGCCTGAGACCAGGCCCGTGGAGTCTGCGTCTGCTCGTGCCAAGTGGCCCTGTGTCCAGTGGGGCTAGCCCCGGGCAAGGCGCTGCTCTGCTGGCGTCGCGAGGAGGCGGGTTCCTTAGCGGGTGAGGTATTGGCCTGCAGGAAGTGAGGAACATGCGGGGGGATGGGGGAAGGTGCCACTGGGCTGGGAGGCAGCACACGTGGGGAAGGCTGGGCTGCAGCCATGGCCTGGCTGCCTCAGGTCACATTGCGCATGTCTCCGGGGAGCATTGGAGCAAACCACAGGGGCCACAGGTAGGAAGCATCCAGGTCAGGGTGGGCAAATTGCAGCCAGCAGCTCAGATCCAGTCGGCAGGGTCAGTCCCTGGCAGGCCCCCACCTCTGTTTGCACCTCTGCAGGTATTGGACGATTGCAGCTCTTCTCGGCCCCGAACCAGTCCACAGCCAGCTAGAGCTGCGATGGCCCACTGCCTGCAACGGCGCAGGAACAGAGGTGGGGGCCCACCAGCGACTAACCCTGGCGGGCTCCCCCCCTCTTTTTTTATTTTTGTATTGCCCATGCCTGATCCACGTCCTCTCCTGCAGAACTGCTGCTTAGCCGGTCGGTCCCCAGCCGGTAGCAGCCTTGGGCTTCTTCCATCCCCAGGGCAGGGCTCTGCACTTGCCTTGTGCAACTTCGTCCGATTTCTTTTGGCCCAGCCCTCCCATGTGTCTCGCTCACTCTGGACCCTCTCCCTGCCCTCAAGTGTCCCTGCCTCTCCCACGAGCTTGCTGAGGGTGCAACCCATCCCCTCATCCAGGTCGTTACTGAGGCTGTTGAACAAAACCAGCTCCAGAACGGACCCTGGGACACTCCTCTTGACGCCGACCGCCAAGCAGACATGGAGCGTCGATCGCTCCCCATGGAGCCCGACAGGCTAGCCAGCTTTCTGTCCACCTTGCAGTGCTGGGTCTCACCAGAGGCGGGGGTAAAGCTTTGCTTGGCCCCTGCCTGACCAGCCCTGTGGCATGTGCCCAGCCTTTCCTCTGTGCACGAGCCAAGGCCGCAGCAGGGACAAACAGCAGCTGCTCTCTGCTTTCAGATATCCGCGTCGCCAGAGCCATGCGTGGAAGGAGCATCAACCTGGCGCTGTCTCACCGAGGGCGCCAGGCCCTGAAGGCCATTGGGATGGAAGAGCAGGTAGCCTCGCTGCTGCCCCCGGGTTCTCAAGCGACTGTCATCAAGCCAGGTTCCAGTTCGGTGGCTGGCTGGCTCGGAGCGACCCAAAGCCCTAGGGACAGGCCACAGCTGTGCTTTGCCTGACGTTGCCCCGGAGACGTAAACACGCCCGAGCTGTTCCCTGGCACCACCCCCACCTTCCTCTGGTGCCTGACGCCCCAGTGCTGCACGGCAGACGGGTCCCAGCTCCCAGGAGCAGGGCCGTGCAGAGCCAGGCAGCTGGCAGGCCAGGTCACCTTGCAGCAGGGCGCTTGCTCTGCTCAGCAGCTCTCTGGGCCCAGAGCCCTAGGAGGAGCAGCACTGGGGGGGGACAGTCAAGTGCCCTAGAGTCAGGGGAAAGCATCATCCCTTCCAGGTGGGGAGCAGAGCAGAGTGGGGGTGGGGGGTAGGGGCTGATGCTCAGGTCTAGGCCCCAGGACATGCAGGCAATGAGCTGAATTTCCCCAAACAGCCTCAGGCTGGGGCCTGCTGCAAAGGCCAGGGAAATCTGAGCCTTTCCACTGACTGCCCTGGGCTTTGGCTCAGGGCCGTTGCATGCCCTGAGTTTGAGTGCAAGCCAGTGCTCCTTCGGAGCACTTCTATCCATGCGGGGAATACCCTGTGTTACGCCACTGGGCCGGGCCACTCTGGGCACAGCCGAGGGCGTCCACGCAGGACGAATTGTGCCAATTCAAAGCTCCTTACTGCCCCTGACTGGAAACCATCCCAAACAGGCCACTCACCAGTCCCACCAAGCGCTCCAGCTGCCTGCCTGGCCAGCCAGAAGCCTCACAAGCAAAACCCCCCAGACACCCCAGCAATATCCCTGCCCCCAAGAGCCCCGGGCCTCGTACACAGGTGAGGGGTTTCAGAACCCAATACACCTACCCCAAACGGCTACAGCTCTGGTGACCAATGAAACCAGCCACAGATCCCTGGTCAATTTACACTCTGGATCTTACCCACAAACCATGCTGAGCCAGTCCTTTAGAATCTAAACTCTAAGGCTACGTCTAGACTGGCATGATTTTCCACAAATGCTTTTAATGGAAAAGTTTTTCTGTTAAAAGTATTTGCGGAAAAGAGCATCTAGATTGGCACGGACGCTTTTCCGCAACAGCACTTTTTGCAGAAAAGCGTCCGTGCCAATCTAGACGTGGTTTTGTGCAAGAAAGCCCCGATCCCCATTTTTGCCATCGGGGCTTTTTTGCGCAAAGCAATACCGCATTGTCTACACTGGCTCTCTTGCGCAAAAGCATTTGTGCAAGAGGGCTTTTGCCCGAACGGGAGCAGCATAGTATTTCTGCAAGAACACTGACAATCTTACATTAGATCGTCGGTGTTCTTGAGGAAATTCAAGCGGCCAGTGTAGACAGCTGGCAAGTTTTTCCACAAAAGCACCTGCATTTGCGGAAAAACTTGCCAGTCTAGACGCAGCCTAAAGGTCTATTACTACAAGAAAGAAAAGCATGAGAGTAAGGTTAAGGTATCACACATTACATGCATCGACTCTCCCAGTTCTCAACGCAGGCTTGCAGCAGAGATGTAATAGCTGCTGGCTTAAAAGTCCTTGGTGCACATCCTGTGTTGGGATGGGTCCACAGTTCTTTCTGGCTCCTCGACCCCTGCACCCATGCTGCTGGGATAAAGAGCTGAGCTGAGCACAAAATGGAGGATGCCACATGGCCTCTATAGTCCAGTTCTGGGCGCCACATTTCAAGAAAGATGTGGAGAAATTGGAAAGGGTACAGAGAAGAGCGACAAGAATGATTAAAGGTCTAGAGAACATGACCTATGAAGCCAGGCTTCATGAACTGGGCTTGTTTAGTTTGGAAAAAAGAAGATTAAGGGGGGACATGATAGCGGTTTTCAAATATCTAAAAGGGTGTCACAAGGAGGAAGGAGAAAATTTGTTCCTCTTGGTTTCTGAGGACAGGACAAGGAGTAATGGGCTTAAAGTGCAGCAGGGGAGGTTTAGATTGGACATTAGGAAAAAATTCCTAACTGTCAGGGTGGTCAAATATTGGAATAAATTGCCAAGGGAGGTGGTGGAATCTCCCTCTCTGGAGATATTTAAGAACAGGTTAGATAGACATCTGTCAGGGATGGTGTAGACGGAGCTTGGTCCTGCCTTGAGGGCGGGGGCCTGGACTCGATGACCTCCCGAGGTCCCTTCCAGTCCTATGATTCTATGATTCCTTCTTCCCCATCTCTTCTTGGCTGCAGCAGGTCACCTGGCCTATCCGTTTCCTGCTGGTAGCCCCTAGGTATCAGTCCCCATTCTTGAGGTGTGTCCTTGGCCTATAGAGGGCTATTGTTCCATAACGACTTGCTCATTAGCATGTCCATAGGCTGAGCTTTGCCCATTACTCAACCACATACCGAGAAATGTTCAGTACCCACACAAAGTACATGCTTATAACTTCATACACAGACATTATACAATCACATGAATAGCGTATATGGAATCAGAAGAAAGTAAGCTTCTATTCGACACCTCACATGGCCCCCTTTGTGCCACTTTTGGGGCCAGCACCCCCCCATGGGTGCAACAGTGATCTGGCTTCTCCCCTAAAATCCAGTAACATGACATGCAGCGAGGCATGTGTCAATGTGCACCACGACTAGAAACACAAACCCAGCCGTGGCCACTCCGCTCGCCAGCAGGGTGGCGTGGCAGTCTCTCCTGAGTGGCAGCACCAGCGCACGGGGAGCAGTGGAGCAAGCCCCTGTCAAACGGGGAGCAGTGCGGCAGGCCGGGGCAGAATAGAGCCCAGATGTCCCAGGGCAGCGCCTTGGCTCGGATTCCCACGCAGGTGCTGGGAGCTTTTATTAGACGGATGCAGTTAATTGTCCAGAGAGGCGCAGCAGCTCCGTAGTACAGCACGTCACACGTTGCCCCGGCCAGACGAGAGCTCCCTGGGCTGGGCATTAGTGCTACTGCATTCAGTGGGCATCAGGGACTCCCAAACGGGCTTCGCTCAAGGAGCAGCGGGCAGTGGATGTCTCCTCCGTTCTGATTTCAGATTGTGGCCAAAGGCATCCCCATGCGGGCCCGGCGGATACACACCCTCTCTGGGAAAACCTATTCCATCCCCTACGGAACCAAGAGCCAGGTATCTTCCCCCTCTGCCTTGGGGACCAGGGCCTGGTTTCTGTTCACTAGACCGGTGTTAGAGCACTGTGTAAAGTTCAGTGCTGCAGCCAGCAGGAGGGTGCTCTGAGAGTAGGGTTACCACGTAGTCATAAAAAAAATACCGGACACACTTCATCAGGGCGGGGGTGGGACAGGCCAGGAGGGGAGCAGGGCTGGCCGGGGGAGATGGGAGAGGCAGATGGGAAGCAGGGCTGGTCGG